TGAAAGATCCAGATCGTGAGTCAACGTTTGGTAAACAGTAGAAACCCCGCTTAGCACATAATCCTACCTTGTTGATCAGGGCAGATAAACTGGTGGCGTGCACAGCATACTAATGCATGAAGAGACAACATACTGTTTACCCTAATCATGAACTTATTTTAAGTTGGTGAAAAAGGAGGCCATATGTTACCTCTGAAGTAGATCTGCTACTGTTCTCAGTTTAGAGTACTGCAGACATTCGGAATATGGACACGTGCCGATGTCATGCTAGCAATTCTTAGGATCGTTAGAAGGGCAACCCCCCCCCCAAAAAAAAACAACAACTTGCCTGCTTCTACAGCATCGCTCTCCACTCACTGGCATGTGAGACCCTGACGCCTCTGTAGAGTAAGTGATGCCGCTGAAGCAGATGAGTGTTCCATTTAGTGATCTGTTGCTGGTGACAAAGAGAAGAAGGGTCACCAGTTTGATTTTATTTCCATAGTGTCACATAGATCATACAGCCAACATTTCGGGGCTACTCAGAGTCCATTCCTCAGGGCAACACAGTGGACTCAGTGGAGGAATGCACATGCAATGCTGCAAATGTAGGTTTAATTCTTTTGCAACCAGCAGGTAGGACTCCATGCTCCCATTGGGCCTGTGCCTGTGCCTGTGCTTTGTAAGTAATATCTTTAGCCACCAGGTGGGGCTCTGTCTCAGCTTATTTTTTTAAATGACACTAAACTCAGGCGTTAAATCTTAAAATTGCATTCAAGTACTTAACTGTTAACAAAAATGTATCTTATTTGTGTATCACTCAGCTGTAGATCCTCAAATCATCCCTGTGTGATGCTGACACTGTCCTTCCTTATGGAGGGTGGCTACATTTGTTCCCCATGGTCCCTGTGTGTGTTGTAAAGTAGCCACCGCTCCAAGCTCACTCCTGTGATGGACTATATTCTCACGTTTAGTTTACTAATTTGTATTGAAGTTATAGTCTATCACGGAACGAGCTTGGAGCTGAAAAAAAGATGGCAGCCCACATCTCAACATTAACAGTCCAGAAGTGAGTGACTGCCCCTTACCCCCAGCCAAATAAATGACAATATTCTTACTGTGCCTCAGGGTAAATGTTTTTAATGTTTCATCAGTTGGGCAGCACAGTGGTGTAGTGGGTAGTGCTTCTGCCTCCAGCACTGGGGGTCCTTGGTTCCAATCCCATCCCAATCTGGAAGGAGTTTGCATGTTCTCCCTGTGTGTGTGAGGGTTTCCTTCTATGCTGGAAGGTTAATTGGCTCCTGTCTAAATTGCCCCTGTATGTATGTGAAATAGGGACCATAGATTGTAAGCTCCTTGAGGGTAGGGACTGATGTGAATGTAAAAGCACTTTGTAAATTGATGGCGCTATATAAATACCAATGATTAAAAAAAACAGTCAGTCACTTTATGGGAAGAAAGATGGCTGCAAAATTAGCACAAAATTCAGCATTAGAAGTCCAGAATTGGGGGACTGACCCCCAAATAAATCACACCATTCAAAGTGTGTCCCAGGATACAGTTTATTCATGTTTTGGCAGTGGCGAGTATGATTATTTTAGGCTTTTTTGTTTTACTTAGGTAGAAGATGGCCGCCAGCTGCAATGCCACATGTGTCTTCTCTTACTTCCTAGACACTCATCCTAGACAGTGGGATTGTTTGTTTGGTGCAGCAGAAAACCTATTTTGCTGAACATCTATAATTCCAAAAGAATTCCATCATTTGAAAAGTTGTGAGAGGGAATTTGCACCGACTTTACCACAGATGGTAACCGGCATCCTTAACTGAAGGATTTCTTAGACAAATGTTCTTAATATTAAATAACTGAACTGTACAACCCAGGGATTTGTGTTATTAAAACAGATTATAATCCCTAAATTGGTATCTGCAAATAGGAACTCACTTTTGCATGGACGTGGAGATGTCTTGCCGATGGAGGGTGAGTGATGTTGTCGGCTTAGATCGCAAAGCGGCTCATGCGGCTGGTCTGTGTGGATATAATCAAAAACTTGACGACTCCTATTTGGTCCCTTGGTGATAGAGGAGGGATGGTGGAGTGGTTTGGCTACGCGTTTCGAGGCTCTATGCCTCTTTGTCAACCCAGAGAAGCATAGAGCCTCGAAACGCATAGCCAAACCCCTCGACCGATATCCTCATCACTCAGCAAGACGGACCACACTGTCCTCTAGCCCTGTGTCCGTCCCTGAGCGTTCTTCCACAACGACTGCCGACAACCTTTACACTGCTACATAGCTGCACTCCCGCTCCCGTTCAGCCGGCGAGTGGCAGCCTGGCCAGCTGGGCTCTCACTGTACCGGAGGGGAGTTTTACTTTTAACGCACAGCCTGTTTTTTCACAAACCAGAGAAGCATAGAGCCTCGAAACGCATAGCCAAACCACTCGACCGATATCCTCATCACTCAGCAAGACGGACCACACTGTCCTCTAGCCCTGTGTCCGTCCCTGAGCGTTCTTCCACAACGACTGCCGACAACCTTTACACTGCTACATAGCTGCACTCCCGCTCCCGTTCAGCCGGCGAGTGGCAGCCTGGCCAGCTGGGCTCTCACTGTACCGGAGGGGAGTTTTACTTTTAACGCACAGCCTGTTTTTTCACAAGGTTACATGTGCCCTCCAGTCGCCTCCACCATCCCTCCTCTATCACCAAGGGACCAAATAGGAGTCGTCAAGTTTTTGATTATATCCACACAGACCAGCCGCATGAGCCGCTTTGCGATCTAAGCCGACAACATCACTCACCCTCCATCGGCAAGACATCACCACGTCCATCCAAAAGTGAGTTCCTATTTGCAGATACCAATTTAAGGATTATAATCTGTTTTAATAACACAAATCCCTGGGTTGTAGCTCTCTTTTTTGCCTTCTTACATTTGTTCACAGGGTCCCTCTCCCTGGTTAAGTAGCTCGCTCACCCAAACCCGCTTACAGTCTTCCCACCGGTAGTCCGCTCGCCATCTTTACTGTTTTTTCCCTGAAGAGATGAGTCTTAAGGGATCACCTTAAGGGATTATATAAAGTAGGGGTAGCCAAAATCCGGCCCTTCAGCTGTGGTGAAACTAAAAATCCCATGATGCATCTCTCTCCGGGAGTCATGTCTGTGGCTTTGAGAATCTTGCAATGCCTCATGGGATTTGTAGTTCCACTTCAGCTGGAGGGCCGGGGTTTGGCTACCCCTGGTATAAAGCTACTAATAACACTTCCTCAGACATATCTTTGCTTCAAGGTTGCAGATCTCTAAGGTGTTGTCTAGCTTTGTACCAGCAGAGGACTATATATAAGAACTGCTGAAGTTTTTTTTATCATCTGATGCATTTCCTGTACCCGTCATGGAAGTCTGGTGCCCCTGTTTGTTATAGTCTACTATCTGCATGGTAACCAATGTTCCGTGCACAAACAATGTTTCTACATGCTTCAACCTTAAAACAAATAAGGTTCCACCATTCTCCTGACTGTCTCTGTATTTTCACCATAATGGTCTGCTTAATGCCTCCTTTGAATGTGTGCAATGAATGCAAACAAAGTAGGTGGAGCCAATGGAAGCCACATTTCATCTTCTCACTATGGTTCCTGCATTCAGTACATCATGAATGCACTTTGCATTAACATAAACCTGTACTGAGAGTATATAGAGGTCTTTATTGCTGACTTCTCCTTCTGAAGTGCTACTTTACTTGATGTCATGCTGGTCCAATGGCTTTATTATTTCCTGCAGATCTGGTGTTCTAACTTCAGTCTGAGTTCGCTTTATCCACGGCCCGCCTGCACCATGGAATGGCATGATACTGTGTGAAAACTTCTAGGCACCCCTGAGGAAATCATAAGGCACCCCAGGGTGCCTAGGCAACTTGGTTGAGAAAGGCTGCCCTAGACATAAATGAGGAGTTAACCTGTGCAGTGCAGTGTAGGGGCAACAACACTTCAAGGGGAGTTCCTTTCTTCTTCCTGGAGATGACTTGCCCTTGTACTCCATTGATAACTTTCTCAAGTTCTATGTATGTAGGAGCCTGTACATTGCATGCGCAATCCACTGGTCCCATGCTCTGCAGGTTCCAAAGCAAAAAAACATGAATAAATGCACATTTTCTTTTATCACGTTTCTGTGTTTATTGACTATTTTATTATAAAAAGGTGGACTGTGCCTTTAACTGTGTTGCAAGTTCACTAAAAGGCCACAATCACCACCAGGGTAATTTATCAAATTGGAGCAGACAGAATCTGAAGCAGTTTACCGTGACAACCATTCAGCTTCACTCTTTCATTTTCAAAACTAACGCAAACTTTAAAGGTGCCCGCACACCTTGCGATAATCGTACGATAATCGTACGATAATCACCGGAAATCCCGCGATCGTACGATTATTGTAAGGTGTGTGGAAGCCGTGCGACCACTACTACTGTAAGGTCGCACGACTTTTATCTTATGAACATGTTGGAAAACCCGACCGAGAATTGTACGATTTTCGGCGGGTATGTAGCATGTTCGTAAGATAAAAGCCGTACGGGCCGGTGTGCGCAAGCGCACACTGCCCTTTCGGCATTGCGGTCATCGGAAGTACGATCTGCCTGTCCAAGACAGGCAAATTGTACGTTTTTTAATTACATTACAACCATCGCAAGACAAAAGTCTTGGGATGGTTGTAAGGTGTGTGCCCAGCATTAGACAGCACTCTGCTCTCTATATAATAAAGTATTCCTAACAAATAGACAATATTCATCCACATAAATATCAATCAGCATATAGAGCAGAGCAGAGCAGAGCAGAGGTTGGTCTTTTCTATCTCACACACAACACCAGAAACACACAACTCTGTAGGATAATCTGTATGAAATCTCCTTCCAAGGAGCAGTCCGCAGCGACACCTGCTGGTGAGCGGAGAGATTACATCCTGTTTGCCAGGATGCCCATAACAAAGATGTCTGCTGCTCCCGTCCCGGCATGATGACGTTTCCGGCACGGCGACACCAGGAAGAAGAGGATGTCAGCGGTAGATAAAGAAGATTAGGTTCCAGCAGCTCAGCCGTGACCTAGAGGAGAGGTGACAGAGGTGAGGACATGGCTCTCCTATGATTTGTGGAGGGGGCTCCCCTCTTCTTCCATGTTCTGTGTGGGGAGGAGGCGACACATGGAGCAGCTGTTATGTGATGTCTTGGGGTTTAGTGTAAACAGAGGTCACCCGGGCAGGGGAGGGCTGCAGTCATGTGCTCTGTGACCTTAGATAACCTGTGACCCTCCAGCTGTTTAGGTGTGAGAAGTCCCAGCTTGCCTGGTCAGCCATTGTGTGCCAGTATCTGCACCTGGTATGGTAGACATCATCATAATCAAGAATAATGACGTTTTGAAGCTGAATTTTATATTTTGATTTACCTGGTTCCTCTTCTTTCTCCTCATCAACATGTTAATGACATGATTAACCCCTTAATGATGGTGTACACATATATGTGACAGCACGGTGGGGGGCTCTCAGTGCCCCGCTGAGGCATATATTCCTCACTGTTGTTCTGGGGTGCGGTGTCCAATTTGTGCCCCCAGATCTGAGATCAAGCTGCCATCAGCAACTCAGTCAACTACTAACAGGCTGGTAGGATGGACTTCTGATCATAGTGCAGCCAATCACAGTGAATGAATGAATGGGAGCCCCTCCTACCAGCCCCTTGGCCACTTTAAGGGCCGGCTCAAGCCGTCAGCAAAGGGGTAAGTAAAACTTTTCTGTCTTCAATGCATATATCTAATGTCAGTGATGTCATCAGTGGGTCTCTGTACTACGCTATGCAATGTAGACAGATCTTGGCTGGTGGGAGGGGCCTGCAGGGTGCTGTACATGGCTTCCTAATAACATCACAGCACTCTGAAGGTGGCCATACACTGTACAACCATCGCAAGACCTTAGTCTTGCGATGTTTGTAAAGTGATTAAAAAAACGTACGATCTGCCCATCTTGGACAGGCAGATCGTACTCTCGATCATCGCAAGCCCGCCCCCCTGAGGGGCGGGCTTCCGATGACCGCAATGCTGAACGGGCAGTGTGCGCGTGCGCACACCGGCCCGTTTGGCATTTGTCTCCCGAGCACCGTTCAAACCAGCCGAGAATCGTACAATTCTCGGCTGGTTTTCTAGCGTGCTCCTTAGACAAAAGATGTGCGACCGTACAGTAGAAACGGTCGCACGTCTTCGTTCACACTGCTCTATTCTCGTACGATCGCGGGATTTCCCGCAATTCTCGTACGAGAATCGAGCAGTGTATGGGCACCTTGACTCAGTACTTTTCTCAAGAGCCCTCAACTGTGATGCAAGCGGTGGGCTGGCCCTTGGGAGGAGTTATGCAAAAATCAAACTACTGTGATGGGTGGGTGTTCCTAAGCAGGCTGCAATTGCATACAAGCCACCCTGAGTAATGCCCACATGTGATGCTGAGACTCCATGATTGAAAGAACTGAAATCCAAAGGGAGCCAGGAACAGTCAGGCTGGGGAGGAAAAGATCTAGATAATGCTGGACGTCCTCCAGCCAGGAAATGAGGCGGGCTCTATCTGACTTTCTGCAACTTCTAATGCACACCATGAGGAGCTCACAGTCCAAACCTGAGATCATCTGAATTAAGAAGGAAGCTGTCAGCTGCGGCCAGTGCATTCCCCTCCTTGCAGCTGCATATAGACAAAGGAGCGGGATGCTGGTGACATCATTGCCCTGATCTGGCCACAGATGGTCAATGACATTGTGACACGTAAAGCTGGCTCCTCACATCTACTTTCTGGTTCACAAACTCAGGAACTCTCTATGCCATTGGCTCAGCATGACACTCGTGAAGTCCTCAGTGACATTTGTACACAGAGGTGTCTGTATGTAAGGGACCGTCTGCACAAGAAGTGCTTACAAAGCCTTTGCAATGCTCTCAGCTGGCTGCGGCCACTTGCTGAAGACCTTTAGAGCCTTGGTTCTCAACTGGTGGGTCGTGACCCAAAAGTGGGTTGCGACCCCATGTTCAGTGGGTCGCCGCATGCCTTCCACTTTTCTAGGTGGGAGGCTCCTCAGCCTCCCCCAAGCCCCCCTGTAGTGCAGCACTGTCCATTCTTACACCAAGTAGCCATTCAAAATAGGCTGCCCAGCGCCAAGTGTTGACTTGAGGTGGGGTGGGCTGGGGGTATGGCTGCGATGAAGCTCCCTCCATACGTTCATTACTTACAGCTCCCTCGCATGTCCTGTAGAGGTTCCTAAACTGGAGTGACATCACATTCTGGCTCCCGGCACCTCTACAGGGCACACATGTGAGCTGTACAGGCAATGCACATATGGATGGAGCTCCATCACAGCACAACAGCCCACAATGCCATATGTTCCATTGCAGTGCGTGTTAGGTCCGCGGTGTGGGCCCGAGATGATGAGGAGGACCTCCCTTGCAACCCTGTCTGATGAGCACTGGGTTGGAGACAGTGTGTGTCAGGCAGGGGGTGCACGGGTGCCGGATCAGGATACCAGGTGTCAGCAACAGGTAGTGTGCAGGCAGGATAGGCAGCCGTGCAGGATCCTAGAAGGCAAATAGAGAGGTCAGACAAGCCGGGTTGGTAACAGGCGGGCAGCGAAGTACAAGGCGGAATCCAATGGAGAGTCAAGAGGCAAGCCGGGTCAGTAGGAGGCAGGCAACAAGGTACAGAAGGGTAATCCAGGAGAATAGTCAAGGAGGAAGCCAGGTCACAGGTATCAAACAGGAGCAAGATCAACAGACGACTGGTGCTGGCTGAAAATCACACAGCAATGATCTAAAGCCCTGTGGGGCTTTAAATAGGCTGAAGGTGTGTACTGCGCGTGCGCTGCCGTGATGACGTCACCCGCGCACGCCAGTGTAATGACGTCACGCCGTGCGGGGCGGATCCCGCCGGGTCACAGGGCGTCTGCGCCTGCGCGGCCCAGTGATACTGCCGGGATGTCCCCTCCGTGTGCGTCCGCTCACACTGGCTCGTACTGGGACATTGTACGTCCCTCGGACCGGCACCCGACCTGGAGCCACTCGGACCGGGACCCGACAGTGCGACTCGGGTCACGACTTCATGACCGAGAACAAATGTGGGTCCTGAGGTTACACAGGTTGAGAACCACTGCTTTAGAGAAGCCTCCAGCTCCAGTTTGAAGATCATAAAGGAGAACTAAAGCCAACCCTTCTTTTTTTGCTTTAGATTTCTTTTGGGTCACAGGAGTAGTTTTTCTAATGTCCTCCTGTGACCCAAAGTCAGCAGATAGCAGGCTACTGTCCTCTATATGCTGACAGTGCCACGCTGCAGCTGGGAAAGATCCCAACAATATTGTCAGGACCCACCCCGCTGCCTGATTGACAGCTGCCTCTGTAGATCCAGAGCCAGCTGTGCCCGCCCCCTCCCCTGTCTGTCACTCCAAGAGCGCTGGAGGAACAGAGAGAAGGGAGGGGCCAATCCCTAGAGGCAGCAATGAATGACAGTCACCACTCTCTACAGGGAGGAGACCATGAGCTGAGCGATCAGTGATTTGTCATCGCTCAACTCTCGATCTATAGAGCCGACATGTGTCACACATCGGCTCAAAGTATAGGGAAGAGCACATTATACTCTCCCAGTACTTCTCCTTTAATTGGAATGGAGGCAGTCACTTTAAACAAGCTGCTACCGGGCATCAGCAAGCTTTTATTCAGTTTCAGCACTTCTAAAATCTTCATAAAACCCTGCTAGCAGCTCATTTTAAGTGACTGTCTTCATCCCATTAAAGATTTTATTCGACATCCTCTTAATGGGACTCAACATTGATTAAAAAGCTTCAGAAAAGCTGCTTGGAGCTTGGTGAAACATTTGCAGTACACGCTGCTCCTATACAACTGGAGCCTGTGTGTACAAGACCAAGGCCCCAATTACATGGGTGGTCTGATCAGATCCGCATGTACAATGTAACACTACGGGCAGCTGAATGTAAACCAATGTCTGTCCGTTCACATCCAACTACCTCCAAGTCCATCCAGAAGAGTTCCTGAATGGAGTGGATCATTTTTAATTGAATGCAACCGCACACGACACAGGTGACAGACGCTCCATTGTGCTCTGACTGATCCCCTGCTGATCGGAATGGAACTTGTCACTCGAGTGAAAGGGGCTTTAGGCCTCAGGGCTTGTTCACACCCAATGAGCAAGCCCTATTTTTTGCGTTTGCAGTGGAACGGAGCGTACAATCGCACTGCGGAGGGGCGTGGAAGCAGTGCCATTGAATTAAATGCACCGCCACGCCCTCTCCTGCCCCAGAATGCAGGGGGAGTTTCGCGAGGGGTTGCGGTGCTACTGCTCTGGAACGGACCGCATTCAGTGTGAACAAGCCCTCATTCACACAAGGCCTTTGTGTCTTACAACGGACTCTTGTGGCTGCAAACCTAGTTGGTTCCAGGCAGCTGTACAAAGCAATGACAGGCTGACAGGAGTCTGTTATCTGACAGCGGTTACCTGTAGATGGGGACAGATCCTGGATGCAGTCTGCCTGCGTCCAGGGTTGGTTATATATCCCCAGCCACAGGATGTGCGGATAGTGGTGGCCATTGCTTGTGTAGGCCGAGCAGCCGCACATGTTTAGAACCACCTATGACTGCAGCCACATGAATCTGCACCCCGGAAATCAAATCCCCTTGTGGATGAGGCCTCCAAGTCCCAGCATGCATTGCCACGCAATGCGGTGTTATGGCAGACCGGGAGCATCTGGCGGTCCACTTTCCTCTATGTGACTTGCACACCGTGTAATTGGTATGGACAGTAGCAGTCTGCATCCCATGGAGGTTTGTCAAAGCAAATAACACTTAGGCAGCGCGCCTTGAAAAGAACACAACAGCTGTGTGACAAAACGTTGAGTTATATCAAGTCACCCGGTGGTGATAAATCAGTTGGCTGATTCATTTGTTAGATGATCAATAGGAACGGACGCCGCCTGTATTGATTTTGGAGTTCTCTCAGCATATAGCAATCGCAAAAGCTCGTGAAAAGGTTGGAATGTGCCGACGTTCTGGCCAAGCATTGTTGGTTGAATTTTACTACGTTATTGATTCTCCACAAGCCTACGGTAAGACTCAGCCGTGTAATGAGCGCCACTATGTCATAAATGCTTACCTGCTTATAGGCCTAATGCAGGGGGTAGCCAACCTCGGCACTCTAGCTGTAGTGAAACTACAAATCCTATCATCTCTCTGTCTCTGGGATTCCTGTCTGTGGCTGTCGGAGTCTTGCAGAGTCTCATGGGATTTGTAGTTCCACAGCAGCTGGACTTTTGAGGTTGCCTACCCTTAGCTAAGGAGTAGCCAAACTAAAGTTAAACACAAATGCAGAAAATGTAGCTGTGTACTGAAATGTAACTCCAGCAGAGTATACGAGGGGGTGGGGGGTACATCACCAGAGGGCAGTGAGATGCCGGGGGTAAAAGAAGTGGCAGAGAAGATGACGGTGGCCCCAATGGGGAGGCAATACTCCCCTCCGCCCAATGTGAAGAAGAGGGCTCCAGATGTGAAGAAGTGTACTGTAAAAGAGGGGGACCCTGATGTGAAAAGGGCTTCTAATGTAAAAGAGGGGGGCCCCTGATTTGAAGGGGGCTCTGACGTGAAAGGGAGAATTCTGATATAAAGGGGGGCCCATTCTTTTTCTTGTTTTCATGTTGGGTTTTCCCTTAAAATGCATACCAGACGGATGTTCCCTCTTACACACACACGTTATGAATCAGTATTAATGATCTGGGTCTGTAACTTTTATTAAAAATGAAGTATTGTGCCAGGAGAAAGAATGGATGGATTCCGTACTACTGATAACAATATACATGGCTCCTGGTGTGTAATATAAAATATAAATATTCCCTCATTTGCTGGATATGTGCCTCTGTTTTCAGCCAAACGTACGCAGCCTCGGTCATTGTTCAATGCTGATTTATGAAAACTGAGCAAATAAGTAGAGCGGCTGCTCACAGCAAACAGTAAGATGCCACGTTTCATTTTACCTTTTGCAGTTTGGTCAGCAAAATATAATCCCAAATTCCGGGCTGGATGAATCCCGGGAGCCAGGTCGCCAATACACCTTTAAAAATCACAGCTGGCTCCTTTCTCTAGTGGTTAGTGGAGCTGGCCCTAAAAAATTCTGCTGCCTCCTGGATTGGACAGACTGGCTCCTGAATTCCATATTAATTTGTCCTCCCCTGGACTAATGTCATACTATTGGTTACTGCTTTATCTTCCTCTACATTGGGAATGAGCTCATGTTCGGCATGTCATGATAATTGTGTATTGTAGACATGAAAAGTGAAACTCCAATCAGACACAATTAATACACAATGGAATTGAATATATGGGAACTGTTTTACCTTTCAGTGTATTTGCAATTCTGTTCAGCCATTCTTGTGATTTACACACACCTGCCATACTACACAGCCAGGAAATTCACTCTTAGCTTTGCTGCTTCTTGGATCAGTTCCCTGCAGAGGAGATGATTCTAATGGCAAAGGGAGGAAGCTGAATTGCCATGTGGCAGAGGTGTGTCTATTACAAGTCTTACTGATGAGAAGTCCAAATCGTATACAGACACTGTTGCATTCTGTTTTCAGCATTTTCAGCTTTTGTTATCTTTTTGTATTTCTTTTTAACAGTATTGAAGATGTCCCATGTCGGAGCCTTTGCCGCCCTTGGGGTTGCATTTACTGCAGCTGCTTTATTCTCGGCCATCCACAAAATCGAAGAGGGGCACATTGGAGTATATTACAGGTAACAAAAATAAATAAAGGTTTATATGTATGTGTATGTATGTATGTATGTATAAGCGTAAGCGTTTTTCTTGCATTAGGCTTCAAAGGATGTCACCAGCACACCATAATCTTTGTGTAATCGGCAAACGTCCATTTATTGAAATGCTTTTGAATGGCAATTGTTTCTCAATAAATGGCCGTTTGCTGATTACACAAAGATTGTGGTGTGCTGGTGACATCCTTTGAAAACTACATGTATATCATGGCACCACCCGTGGTAACTATGAGCACCACCTGCAACTTGCAGGTCATCAATTCCGGTATGGAGTGCAGCAATACATCTTCTGTTATTTTGCATTAGGCTGACAGCATTGTGCAAAGCAATAGAACCCTAGTTGGCTCAGAGCGCTGCTGTATCTGAGGATAATATTAAAGCGGACCTTTACACTCAAAAATCTAATTCTACCAATGCATCCCTCTATGTATGATGATTAATAATAACATAGACATGTCAGGTGTATAATGCTGTGATTGTGAAATACTTACACTTGCAGAGCATTTACTTCCCGCTTTGAAAGTGCAAAATGACTTCAGTTTGTCAAAACAATGCACACTGGGATTGCAATGTCATTAGCAGCGCAAGGCTGGGAAATCTCATCTATAATCTCACGAGAACTTGGGGAAAGGCATTTTCTTCCCCTGACATGATGTGCATGGTCACATGTGCCAGAAATCCAGGAAGTAAAGGGAGATCTAGTAATCTGCCCTTATTAAACATGGCCACTGTCAGAAGACTGGGGAAGAAGAGAGATATGAGGTATGCAAAGAATACAAAGCCGGCAATTATCTAGCAGTAAGTGTTATAAGACCGTCATTACTAAACATTTCTAAAGGTGTGTGTGTTGTTATTTTAAAGATATGGGTAAAGGTACGCTTTAAGAGATTTAGGTACATGTTGTATATAAAATAAATGTCATGATTTTAATGAACACATACCTCGATTACCGTATTTTTCGCTCCATAAGACGCACTTTTTTTCCCCCAAAAGGAGGGGGAAATGTGCCTGCGTATTATGGAGCGAATACCTATCGCCCGACGCTCGGGACATGCAGTTTCTGGCGCCGGGCGAGTAGTTTCTTTTTGTACATTCAGCCCTGCTCCTGACAAGCAGAGCTGAATGTACAGTGGGAGCCGCTGCTCGTCACGGTCCCCCATAGGAGCTCACATAGAGCCCCTTGAGCAGACGAAGAACGTCGTTCTTCGCCTGCTCTGTGTGATTACTGAGACCGTGGCGCTGTAACCGCAGCGCCACCCGTCTCTGCGGTCACTAACTGCAGCTTCTGTGACCAAATTTCTGTCACAGAATCCCTGCGTCCTATCATCCGGAGTGTCTTATAGACCGCAAAATACGGTAAATGTTGAATTTATCTCCTGGAGTTTATCTTCTTTTTTTTTTCAGTTCTAATTTTATGTTTATTGGGGATTTACACCACTAAGTATCATAAGTGTGAGAAAGACAGTGAACATCTACTGTGTACAGTGACATTGATGGTTGGACAAGGCAGGAGAACGGAGGCTTGAGAGCAAGCATATAAAATGCAATCAACACATATCCATTACAGTTGCCCTTTAAAATCTAGTTATGTCGTCTTTCATTTGATGATATAAAAGCTTTAGTCAGAAGTACACAGACAGCTCAGAGGAAGGCATGCATTTAATGAAAGGCGTGTGCCAGACTTAAAGAAAGATGTCTAAAGATTTCCTCGAAGTGTGAGGCGTTTATTTGAAATTTCGAGGACACAATCATAGTCCACTTTTTTCTATCCACTTTGACGTGCATTGTTGTAGTTTTAATAACTACAAGGTGCCACGAAGAGAGAAGAATAAGATGAATTGCCCAGATCCTGCAGGATATTGTCTCCGGTTCTTTTTGGCACAACATCCAACATATCCAAGAGGACACGGTCGTCGTTTACCCTCTGCAAACAAAGCGAAAATAACAGCAGTGTCGTCAGAGAACCTGAACATTCTCAGTATATTAATTATAATGCATGGAATGATTTAAATTAGATGTATAGATAATGTTTTGAATTAATTCACCTGCACTTTGGCTGCGCAGGTTGTAATGGATATCGTTTACTGCACAGGTGACCAGCTACTGAACCTTCCATTTAGATGACCGAATTTGGTGTAAAAGCCCATAATGACCAGAGAGTGTTTTTTTTAGTTAAAGTAGACCTGTGACTAACCTGGGCAATTAGACCGAGCATATCATATAAAAAGGGATGGTTACACATAAGTGATGCCGCTCCTCAGAACAGACAGACCGTGGATCCAAAGGTACACTATATTGCCAAAAGTATTGGGACGCCTGCCTGTACACCCACATGAACTTTAATGTCATGCCATTCTTAGTCCGTAAGGTTCAATATTGAGTTGGCCCACCCTTTGCCGCTATAACAGCTTCAACTCTTCTGGGAAGGCGTCCACAAGGTTTAGGAGTGTGTCTATGGGAGTGTTTGACCATTCTTCCAGAAGCGCACTCGTGAGGTCAGGTACTGATGTTGGACAAGAAGTCCTGGCTCGCAGTCTCCACTCTAATTCATCCCAAAGGTGTTCTATCGGGTTGAGGTCAGGACTCTGTGCAGGCCAGTCAAGTTCCTCCACCCCAAACTCGCTCATCCATGTCTTTATGGACCTTGCTTTGTGCACTGGTGCGCAGTCATGTTGGAACAGGAAGGGGCCATCCCCAAACCATTCCCACAAAGTTGGGAGCATGAAATTGTCCAAAATGTCTTGTATGCTGATGCCTTAAGAGTTCCCTTCACTGGAACTAAGGGGCCAAGCCCAACCCCTGAAAAACAACTCCACACCACAACCCCCCCTCTACCAAACGTTACACTTGGCACAATCCAGACACGTCCACCGGATTGCCAGACAGCGAAGAGTGGTCTGTCACTCCAGAGAACACTTCTCTAGAGTGCAGGGGCGGCGTGCTTTACACCACTGCATCCGACGCTCTGCATTGCACTTGGTGATGTAAGGCTTGGAAGACAAGATAGTAATAAGGGCCCTGCCCCTGAGGGCTTACAAGCTAAAAGGGAGGGGCCAGTGATACATGAGGCGGTAGCTGTGTGGGGAGGAATTGTTTGAAATTGTGATGCTTGAGTGATTAGTTTGAGGCGGGATAATCTGTGGTTTTCCCCGCCTATAATTTTCCTGGTTTCTAAGCTGATTTGTATTGTTTCCTGAGAAGGTGAACTGATGAACTAATTGGGCTCTTTTCTTCTTCAGGGGAGGAGCATTGCTCACATCAACAAGTGGTCCTGGCTTCCATTTAATGCTGCCGTTTATTACTTCCTTTAAATCTGTACAGGTATGTGTAGATATACGATTATTTGTCATGTTGTTGTTTTATTATTACAGGTCTTTATATAGCGACATTCATTTATGCAGCGCTTTACATACTATTGATTCAATCCCTGCCCTCGAGAAGCTTACATAGGTCCCTATGTCATATGTACACACAGACTAGGACCAATTCAGAGAGGAGCCAATTGACCCACCACCCTGCAGCTTTGGAGTGTGGGAGGAAATGCACACAAGCATGCAAACTCTATGCAGTTAGCGCCCTGGCCAAGCCTGGAACCCGTATATACAGTACATAATGGTAGACGTGCATTGAGTATTAGGGAATGACTTCACCTGGAAAAGCCTCGAGGCTTGCTAGAATCTTTGTAAAATGAGGCTGTACCCACTGCTCTTCTAAAAGGTGAGGATCATGTGAAGGCCTGAGGGGGTCACCTGTGATATCCAGGAGGGAGTGCATTGGGTTTCTGTTTTCTAGACGTAGTGTCGCATCCTGTTGTCCCTTGTTAGTTGTAGATCACCTCTTGGGAAATGCCCATTTGTATACAGTCTTTTACTGCAAATCAAAAAGATAGAACTTATAGAACTGGTCCTGATTTATAGTAACTTTATCAATTCCTTTTGTTTTTTCAGAGTACTTTACAAACAGATGAAGTCAAGAATGTTCCTTGTGGTACAAGGTAAGATGCACACATAGGTTCACTGGGAAAGAAGGAAGTCGCACACCGATAATGTCAGATCACATCCAACTTTATTAAACCCTGACATAGCACACTGCAGCCTTAGCTAGGACCTTGATCAAGCCTGTATTGTGTGATTTGTTTGAGAGGTGCGGTCCTAGGCGAGGCTGCATTATGCTATGACCAGGTTTAAGTTGGATGTGATCTGGCATCATCAGTGTGTGACCTCCTGCTTTTCTTTTTAAGTTCTTTGATTGTGGTTCGACCCTCTTTGGTCAGCACCGAGCGTTCAGAGGAGGAGGATTTTCATACAGGCTCGGAGCAGTGACATCTCTCTACATGTCTTAGCTTCACTGGAACACCAAGGCCTCTGTTAAACAAGGGATTCTGCAGAACTGGCAACATCTTCCATTGACTTCCATTAGACATTTTAGCAGGTGCCTTTTGGTGTTTCTGCCATTAGCAAGGTGTCAGTAAAACAGGATTTCTAGTTTGATAATATGCCCCTATGTAGTAGCAGGGAAGTTTGAGGTAGTAACCCCCCCCCCCCCCCAACAGCTT